TCCCACTTGTTTTCTTTGTACCTTTTCTCCAGGTGTTCCTGATTCTTCCGAATACGGTCTTTGCAAATAGCCAAGGTACCTGAGACACTCAGCTTGAGATCTTCCAGCAATGTTTTCATTTGTTCCAAGGAACAAACACTAGCAACATCTTGCCTCACAGGATTGCGTGCTTTTAATCCAAAAAACAAATTGGTGTATTGCCAAAAGTAGTAAATGCGAGTGTCTTTGATCTCCTGAGATGAGCTCAATTACTTCGACTGGGTTGTGAAGCATAGCTTTGTAGAGCTTTGAAGTTCTCTTTTCAGCATCATAGGACAGAAAGAGCAGCCATCCTGCTGGTCCAGTTGCAATGCTAATAATGTGAGGAATGTGAGGAAATGCACCAACCCGGTTTGTTGCTGTAAACCTCATTGTTTAAGGAACAATGGTATGGCATGTATACCAAAGGCTCGAAATATAGTCACACATCTCGAAATTGCAAAGTTTAAGAACGGCTGTCGGGTCTTGACGGTCACGGTTTCTCACGTAATCGTTGTGGGGTAGATACTTCTTTATAATCTTTCGGATTTCAGGCTTTGCTCCGTTTCTCGATGTATATAAAAGATAAAGGTTCCCACGCTTGCATCCCAGTTGTAGGGGCTAGTTTGAAAAGCGAGCTTTTAGGGTCTTCAGCACATTTGGAGCGTCTGGTAAGACCGTCAGCAGGCTTAAGGCTGGATCTAAACTTCCATTGACGGCGTCTCCTTTGAAAGATACCATGTACTTTTTGTTTCCTTCTTCGCAGTCAAGCGTTAACACAGCTACTACCCTACGAACACACTTGAGATCGCGCTCCATGCAGATTTTACAGGGTCTTACAGATGATATGTAAGTGACATAGCCTATCTTTGCACAATTTTCACAGACAGTTTTGCTCTCAATGCAGTTGATGCATTCACTTTTACAGAGAGTGAGCTGTGCTGCAGGAAAGATTGAATCTGACTCTTTTGACCTATTCTGACAGTTTTCGCACATTTGTAAGATTATCGATTCACGAATTCCCGTGCGTAAAAGGCAAGTACTCACGTTTATGAGCGAACCTTCATTTACGAAGACCCCGTTTACACTAGCACGGATCCAAATGGATCCGTACCCAAACTAGCACAGATAGGCCTCCCGTTTACACTAGACCTGTGGATCCGTACCCATTTGGGTCTGCTATCTGGACCCATTTGGGATCGCTTTCCAAGGTGTACTCATTTGGAGCCGTGCTCGTTTAGGTCTAGTGTAAGACCCCGTTTACACTAGCACGGATGTTTGTCCGTAACCAATTTGGATCCGTTCTAGTGTAAACGGGGTCGAAATCACGCTTTAAAATTTGCCGCTTCACGTTTTCACGGTCCAAAAATTGTCCAATCCAGATTCACGTAAAAGTTAGTGGGGGGCCACTTTTATGGAAATGGAAACGTGAAATTCCATTGACAATTGTTTCTAATTGAGAATAGACGACGCATAGGTCGCGAGAACACATCGAATCATCCTCTTGCAATATGAGAAATGAAAACCGTCTGCTTCACAATCTTCGATTATTCTTGGATAGAGGCAGTCTTGTGGGACTTCAGTGAGCGCAGCCCTCTTGTCAAAATGCAGAAAATGTAGCAACTAAACAACTTTCACTTGTGTGACACCCCTCCCTCTTGAAAAAAATCTAATTGTAAAATCAAGGAATTTTGTGCCACTTAAAATCAAGTACTTCATTGGGAAAATTCCAGATGTCTTAAACAAAGGCAAACAAATGATTGCTCACCTACATTGTTGATAAATGGGATCATTTGATGAATTGGAGAAACTGCAAAGTAGACGGGCCTGTGGAGTTACAGGTAAAGAGGAGGGGGGGCAATAAGCAATGTCCATTAAAATTAAGTAGCTAAGGATAACGGTCGACGAAATCCTGGCCTGGAACAAACAATAAACAAATTTAAACGTAAAATGAAAGATGGATTGTCGTCGAATCGCAAAAAGGGGTTTCACCCCAACATGCAAAACCAATATCTACAAAGCACTTGTTGAAAGCAGACTACGATATTTTAATCTGTGTTTTGAACTAACATCTTTATGGTTTTGAAAATAGCCATTGCTAATTGGATTCAAATGCTATAATATAGTAAACACGTGGTTACTCTTTGTGTTTATCATGTATTTCAGGCGCGGATCTAGCCTGGACTCTGACCAATGCAAAAGCTGTCAGAGAGAGAAGCCACGCCCTTTTGTGTTGGAAACGCCCAAATCTTTCTGAATATGAAATCAGCATCACTGATAGTAAGTAGGTGGGTCCAAAAAGAATTCTAAGGAAACGACTCGCAAAGAGAAGACTAAATTTACCTGACAAAGAAAAAGCAACTGAATTGCGCGACCCCGGTAGGATTCGAACGAGAGCCACACACATTCCGAAAGCAGCGGTCTTACCACAACACTACCACAGAGCATAGGTCAACTCTGATTCCTATTGGTTGGCTGTACCTCTGCAGAGGAAAGCTCGACTTCTGATTTGATTTATCAGAAACATTGGAATTTTGCCTTGTCATGTGACCGGAAGTAAAATTTGAAATGGTACCTGGCAGATTTGAATTCTCTGGCATACTGGCATCATGAAACAGTTTAGAGAACCTTGTCAACACCAGCGTTTAGGTAGTTACGGTTATTTCCCTGTCTCTATTCTGTGCTGAAAGATAGTCAGCAAAATATATGCCCTGTCTTCGGCATGTTGTTGGTATTGTAACGGTTGGCTTTAGTGTGTGATATGTTTCGTAATATCTCAGTTGCGTGTTATAGTCACATGTGCTGTTGAGTCCTGTTGTGTCAGTTAACGCCTTTCTAATGGCAATGTGTTTGTCTGTCAACATGTATTGTGACGTTCGTATCGTTCTCTCATTACCTTCCGTTCATGTTAAGTTTTGATAGTTGCAATTTGATTTTGTTGCTGTAAAAATCTGTCTTTTCCCTCTGCATAGGTTGCTGTAGACTGGATCCGCCTCTGTATTCTATTGCCCAGCTCCTATTACTCGTATTGTCTAACATGGTAGAAGTCATCAAATATTTCGTTTTCTGAATTAGATTCCGGATTCCGTGTTTAGATGTACCTTCTGAATTTCTCTCCGAATCTCCTTGAATCTAATCAACTACGTATATTTATATGTACAAGGAAAATACCAGAAAAGCATAACCAAGCATAAAATGTTACCCAATATAACTAATGACTACGCAACATGATGTAATCCTAATGAGGGGGTAATCCTACGGAAAGGAAAAGTATAGCCGCTCGCAGGAAACCGTCATTCCTTAAGTATCAGTTTTCGAATCATATCTCGCGATTTTAAACCTCCATTTTACAATGGTAAAATCCCAGCTGTATGGGCGGCACTGTATTCAAGTTAATATTTCATTATGTTACCCCAACTTCGCCCACCTAGGAATACTCGATATGTCAGTAGGAAAATTCCACGATTTGCCCTCGGTACCAACACTGCTCCTCCTGCCCTTATC